TGAAGGCGTAGGACACGGTGATGGGCCGGTTGCACAGGTACTGCCCGTTCATGGCCTCGATGGCCGCGTCCGACGCGTCGAAGCTGGCGAAGTTGATGAAGGCGTAACCCTTGGAGTTGCCCGTGTCGGGGTCCCTCATGATCTTGGGGGTCTGCAGGATGACGCCAAAGGCGCTGAAGGTGTCGTAGAGCAGCTTCTCGTCGATCTCGGGGTCCAGGTTGCCGATGAAGATGTTGGCGCCCACGTCCAGGTTCTTGTTGTGGGCCGAGGCCTTGTTGACGCGGATGGGTTTGCCGTAGAGCTTGATCATGTTCATGATCTTGATGGCGTAGTCGGCGTCCTCCTCGCTCAGGAACTCCACGAAGCCGTAGCCTGGGGGACCCCAAAAGGGCTCAACACACCTCAAAGGCATCTCAGGGGGGACCCCAAAAGGATTTCAGCAGAGAAACCCTGGACAGGAATCCTGGACCCCAAAAGGATTTCAAGACAGAAATCCTGGACTGAAATCCTGGACAGAAATCCTGGACCCCAAAAGGATTTCAGGACAGAAATCTTGGAGAGAAATCCTGGACCCCAGAAAGATTTCAGGACACAAATCCTGGACCCCAAAAGGATTTCAGGACAGAAATCCTGGACAGGAATCCTGGACCCCAAAAGGATTTCAGGAGAGAAACCCTGGACTGAAATCTTGGACAGAAATCCAAAAGATTTCAGCACAGAGATGCTAGACCCCAAAAGGACTTCAGGACAGAAACCTTGTGCAGAAATCCTGGACAGAAATCTTGGACAGAAATCCAAAAGATTTCAGGATAGAAATCTTGGACCCCAAAAGGATTTCAGGACAGAATCCCCCACACACACCCCCACCTGATTTAAAACTCCAGCTCACTGAAAACCCCATTAATTACTGACTGAAACCCCCAATTTTATTTTAATACCACTTAATACTTGATTAAATCCCCATTTCATTTAAACCATGGCACCCCCGTGTAGGAATGTGTCCCTCCCATTGATGGAGTGGGTAAATTATTCTTTGTCTGCTAAAAAAGGGAAAAAAAAGCTCAGAAGTTTCTCTCCTCAATTTGTACAAAGACACCTCATAAGGCTTTTAAGATTTCACCTAAGACTTAGGGCTGCCAATTAGATAGAGGCCAAAAAGTCCCACCTACGTAATTCATTTAAAAAAAGAAGAGAAGAAGGGAAATAATTGCTTTTTGAGAAGCTTAGCTAAAGGAAGAACCTGTTACCCTTAGCTCAGCTTTTTCTCTGTAAGAGCTTTGTTATTTCGCCTTTTTTTAACCTTTTTTCTGCTTCCAACACCATCTCAAAACCCATCCTGTTAATTTTATTCAGCAGAGCTATCTCAGGTGTGACAGATTCTCTGAGAGCTCATAAAACCCAGCTCGAAGAGAGGG